AAAAAATATTTATATTATACTTTTTTGGGTAAATTATGACAGCCCCCAAATGTGCGTCGGCCCACCGGGCATCGCCCGGTACGCCAGATGGCCAGTCCAACCCGGGTAAGCAGTCCACTCATTTACCACGGGGGGCGCTGCAGCCTCTGGAACCACGGGGGGCACTGCAGCCTCTGGAACCTCCCGTCTTCTGCCTTTCCGCGTCTTCCGCGTTCCTGCTGCTGTGCGGCCAGGCACCTCGGGAGCCGGCTTTGATCGCCGGTCAGCTTCCGGCCAATATAGGCTGGGGTTGCAGAACGCGTAGTTAGCCGGGATCATTCGCGGAACCCCAGGAAGATCCTCCCTCAGCCTTTGTGCCGGTGAAGTACCTGGTCTTCTTTTTTGGAGTCCGGTCATTCTGTCACGATCGGGTTGAAGGCAAGCAGGGAAGCAGGGAAGAGGAGCCAGGAAGTAGGGTCAAACGTGGATTTATTACGGGAAGCAGGACCGGGGAAGCACGACAACAAACAGCAACATCAATGACCGGACTGGGGATACAAACGGAAACGCGGACTAAATACACTGAACTAATGACAATAATCCGAAACAGCTGTAAAACACTGGGATTCCACATGAGGTTAACGAGGGGGCATGGCACACATTAGGATCGGACGGAGCGGGGTGTGACACCACCCTCATCGGACTCATCTGTGATGGGGATGAGTCTGCCTACAGACAGGAGATTGATCACTTCGTGTCCTGGTGCAAAGGGCACAACCCTGAGCTCAACGTCCTGAAGACAGTGGAGATGATTGTGGACTTCAGAAAAAGCTCTGCCCCATCCCCACCCATTTTCCTGCTTAGCTCACCAGTCACTACTGAGGAATACTTCCGCTTTCTGGGCACTACAATCACCAAGGACCTCAAGTGGCAGATGAACATCTGCTCTCTCACCAAAGAAGCTCAACAGAGGATGTTCTTCCTGAGGCAGCTGAAGAAGTTCAGTCTGCCAAAGACTATGATGGTGCACTTATACACTGCCATCATTGAGTCCATCCTCACCACGTCCATCACCGTCTGGTACCCTGCTGGAACTGCCAAGGACAAGAGCAGACTACCGAACATCATCCACTCTGCCAGGAAGACGATCGACTGCAACCTTCCATCTTTACAGGACCTGTATGAGTCCAGGAGTTTGAAAAGAGCAGGAAGGATTATGGCTGATTCCTCTCAAGCTGGTCACAAACTCCTTTGGACTCTCCCCTCTGGCAGAAGGTTGCAGTCCATTGAGACCAAAACATCACACCATAGGGACAGTTTCTTCCCCACCGCAGCTCGCCTCATCAATAAGGCCAGGAACACTTGCTCAAATACTATTTCCTCGTCCTAGTAAAAGCTTGCACTCTCTTAAATATGTGTATATTTCTCTCAGTTCCACTGCTATATCATACTTCACATTCATCTATCTATTTATATTAGTACCTGTATATACGCACACACACGCACACACACAGACACACACACACACAGACCCATTTCATGTCTCCACTGGTGTTTATTATTATTATTATTGTGCATACAGATCAGCCATAATGGTTGAGATAACTGATGAGTGAGGGAATAATCTGTATTCAACCACTAGATGACGTTTATTGCACCCTTACCATTCACTCCTACCAACACACATACACTGTCCACCGTGTGGGTTGTCCCGACTACCTACACCACACACAGTGGACACACACACACCACTGTTTACAACAATTAACACTAAACATGACACTATTAGGCAACACAATAACAGCACAAGACATGACAATTTCACCAAACTATTGACACTATAAAAGTCCTACATTATATTACAATAACAATAATAATGTTATTATTATTATTATTATTATTATCATCAATAATAATAATAATAACAATAATAATAAATAATTTTTAAAAATTATACAGCAATTTTCAAAACACAGTTTTCTTTTATGTTACATTGTAGTATGTCTGATGTCTGATATATGTACTGCCATTTTGTCTGTGTCATGCAAAGCAGGACAAATGACTGGAGAGGCAGGCGTTTGGCGAAACAAAATGGGTGTCATTGAACTGATAACACATGGGGACTTGAAATAAACAAGGGATGAAAGCGAGGGATAGAAAAGGGGCAGACATGAGATTCTAATGACCATGATCCTAATGACCGGACTAGCGAGGACGAGATAAACAGGTATTTAAATACAAAGACTAACGCAGGGCAACAAGCAAGAGGTGTGGCCCATCAGGACCATGTGAGGGAGAAGACAGGAGGATCAGGCAGATGTGGCGGGCAAGATGTGACAGTCTGACACCACATCTGTAATAATAACCAGCTTCATCTTATACCCTGGGAATGTCTTGTTGATGATACTTTATATTTTCATCTTATAAGCACTTATTAACATGGTGTATAACAATTCCAGCTTCGAGCTGCTGTATAAATTGTCCGTGTCTAACATGTTTTAAAATACTGCAGTTCTAATGTGAATTTGTACATACAGTGCCTTCCAAAATGTTTAGGATAAAGCCATTAGCCTGTGCCAACCACCGTTCCATGGGTTTACTCCCCTAGCCATCATACCTCTCAAAGTTTAACCCACATGGCAGTGGGACAGTGGTTGGTGGAGCACCTTTAAAGACCACTGCAGCTCCGAGATCCCCCACTAATTTAGCCTGAGGTCATGAGACCCCAGATACCATGGGATGTCACAAAGAGGCATAGTAGAGGTCTTGGTGAGGAAGAGGCTATATACTGACTTCAGAAAACCTACCTGGACCCCGAAACTAAGGAGGGGGATTGCATGTGTCCCTACATGCAGTGGCTCACACAGCAGAGTGCACTAGACGCACCATAACACCCTGTTAATGAAACAGACAGGCAGCCCAGACATACTCAGACACATACAGCTCTGGAAAAAAATTAAGAAACCACAGCACAATTTTTTACTTCACTCTTTTATCAGTGTATGGGTGTGCATCAGCAGCATGGTTATTCTCTTCTTTTTATTAATGGTCCTGCTTCTACAGTAGGACCCTGATGCAAACTGTCCTAGCAGTGCACTTCACACCTGCACTTAATGTTTCCCATTCTTTTTCAAGGTCACTTGACATCATCCTCCGATTCATGAGAAACTGTCAGATAAGTTAACAGTCATCTCTGGCATTAGAAAGTTGGTTCCACCCCTTACCTGGCTGGTTTCTGGTCGTTCCCAGTGTCTCCTGCTTCAACCTTGTTCTTGTACACTGCTGTCTTAACATGGAAGCAATCTACTGCTCAGTGTAGCCTTCAGGGTTAAACCAGGATTTAAAAATTCAGATTTGTTTAAAAATACAGATGGCATGCATACATACAGACAGAGTGAAAGAGAAATCAAACAGGAATGAGAGTCAAACCCTCAGTTAAACCCAGAACAGAGAATCCAAGGACCAATATCTGAATTACATTTATTTATGGGTGGTTATTTAGAGAAAAGGCAGAGAGAAGTGAGTAGTGACCGTCATGCATGTGTAAATCAATCTGAGAGAGGCACAGCAGATGAGCTGCTGGCAGAGTGAAAGAGATTAAGTCAAGCACCAGTATGTGGTGGCAATTGGTCGGTGCTTCTTTGGTGTTGGGGGAGGGTATATTAGTGATATAAAAAGGCAGAAAATACACGAGTGGGGAAAGAATAAAGGAGGAAAAGGAGTTTCGCCATTTTTTTGTATCCAGTACCAGAAAGTAAGGTGGGAATATCTAACTGGTAAGTTGTGATGTAAGAGTATCATAATTGTATTTGCTGATGTTTTCACATTCTAAGTTATCTGTTCAGACATTTTTGGAAATACTACAAGACAATAGCATTTTAGAAAAAAATGCTTTTTTTTCGCAACCCAAATTTTAACATTTTCATATTTTAGTGTGGATGTTTTCAAAGATGGAATTCAACGCAAGTACCAACATTAGCTTCCTTAGCTATTTAACTGATGTAAAATGGTTTGAATAAATTGTGAAAAAGTACAATAACAGAACACTTATTAACCAAGTGTTTTTTGTAAATTTAAATATACAACCATCCCATAAATATCTGAAAATGTCTGATAACTAATGAAAGATTTCAAATCAAATTCTTTCTTATTTGGGCTTTTTAGATGCTTTTTATTATTTGTCTGTTAAATAAACATAGAAACTTTTGAAAATACTATTTATCAATATCTTAAACCTGTGATGGTGCAGATTGTGGAGTTTGGTGTTTGAATGCAGTTCGCAATATTACATTAAAAATTCTTTTGTGGCCTTTGCAATGTTTGGTTCAGTGAAGCTGAACATTCTCTGTGCTTAACTTGATAGGTTTTATATATGGGCAGTGGTGGCTTGATGGTTAGGGAAGTGCACTTGTAATTGAAAGATTGTGGGTTTGAATCCCTGACCAGCAAGGCACCACTGAGGTACCCTGAGCAAGTTACCATCCCCAAGCACTGCTCCCTGGGTGCTGAATTAGCTGCCTCCTGCTATGTCACGAAAGTCACATATGGGTTAAATGCAGAGGACACATTTCGTTGTTGTACATTGTGTGTTAACACTGATCACCTAATTCTATGTGTTTTGTTTGTTTCACAACACGTTATGATGCACACTCCAGTGGCCTCAAACCCATCATATCTCTCAATAAACCAACAAGCTCCTAGAGCAGAATTTGTGTGATTCCCCACAGTGGCAACAAACTGGGAGATAGGGGGAAGAGCTTTCATCAGTCAGGATGGGGAGGAGTCACACTGTCCTTATTTATTTAAGCTTTAGGATTTTTGGATTAATTTCCACATGGATTTTGTTACATTAGTGGAGAGACAGGCAAGGACAACATGGTGGTGTATTATGGGAATGGAGAATAACAGCGTGTCAAGGGGATTGGGGTCAGCCATATCACACAGCTGGCTTGTAATTTCATTTTACCCCACCATCGACATGTGGAACAAGCTATCCAGTGAGGAGAGAGAGAAAGCAAGCACAAGACAAATGAAATACCATTATTAGCGAAGAATAAGAAGGAAGCAAAAAGGCAGAGTGATTGCAGAGAGAATTACATATATAAAAAAAAAGATTTTCTACTGAATAGCCAGCAGGCGACGTGGTGGTCAAGGACAAAACATGATCCAAAGAGGTTCCCTGCTACTGTATCCTTCAGTGAGATACTCAACTGAAAATTCTCCAGGAAAAATATACAGCTGTCCAAATGAGAATCAAATAGGATATTCACCTTGGATTAGTTTTAGGCAGGCTATGAAATGTTAACAGGGCCCTGTGCTTTTCCGGTTTTTCCCTTTCCTTTAGTGTGTTGTAGAGCTTTATGGGCATATAAATGGTCTGCAATGTCTTAAGGCCCAAAGCACACGCCAAAGGGATTAACTCTCATGACAGAAACCACTCTTCTATAATCTGCTTGAAACACCTTGTTGAAATTCTAGCTATTACTTCCGTTACATGGTTAGGTCACCTCGTAACACAATCATTATTGGCTGACTACCTGCAAGGATCTGAATGCAGACTGCAGATCGTGTAGGGCAGGGGTGGCCAATCTTATCCGCAAAGGGCCGGTGTGTATGCAGGTTTTTGGGATAACCTGTAGGTCAGCTGTTCAAGCCCAGGTGTGAGGACTCTTCAGCCAATCAGTCTTCTAATTAGTGACCTAATTAGGAAGTTGCAGCGAAAACCCGCATACACACCGACCCTTTGTGGATAAGATTGGCCACCCCGGATGTAGGGCAAGCTGACCAATCAGGCAAGCTGACCAATCAGAGCACACTAGGCTCATCAGGGGTGGGGCTTAAAGGTCTAACAGAGTATTTCACATAGAGTTATGGACAGAGTGAATAGAGATGCACAATATGAGAAAAGTGTTTTGGAACATTGAAGCATGCAAATCTATTCTAATAGACCAAAAAATTTTAATTATGAACATTGCAAATGAGCATATGAAGTCCCCTTTAATAATTTGTCTTAATGCTAGATAATGTGCTTTTTCTTCAGCAGAACTGCAATGCAGTGGACCAAGTTAGAACTCCGAGCCCGAAGGGAGGCTGACTCATCTGAACCCAAACCGTCAGCAGCACCAGACCCAGAGCCCAAACCTCCAGTTCTAGCACCATCAGTTCCGGCCTCACCTGTGCACCCCCACTATCACCACCATGAATTTAGTGACATCAAGAACAAGTTTATGAATGAACTGGGCCGAACACCAAGTAAGCGCCGATCTCATTTACTCACACTGGTTAAGCTTATTACCCTGACTAAGGATGCCTTTGATTGTGCCTGTCTTTTTCCCACTTTTTCCCATGTTACATGTTAATTATATTTAAAATATAGTCTGTCAGATGGAAAAAAGGATGAAATAGCAGTAAATTAATTAGATCTTAAAATGTTAAACTCAGGATGGATTTTAAGTCCAAGTTCCTTGAGTGATTTTAGTGCACTGAATACAAGTTCACTAAATTTCCCTAAAAGAATCCCAATACAGGTGTTAAGTGTTCTGACAAAATGACATTGAGGTAAAAATGGTATTTTCTACATTTTAAAATGATTTAACTTGTTATTTCTAGCCATCTATCATACAATCACACTGCTAATTTCCCTCTAGAAACTGCAGTCTCACTTTCACCTCACAACCAAAGATCTTTTACTTTCCTCGTTTTGACTGCAGGTCCAGTTTTTTGCTTAAGTGCTTTAATAGTGGAACCAGTTTTCTCTGCTTATAGTCATACTCCTCCTTTTTTTGTCACAGTAATTCATTTTGAGACCTAAGACCTCAACAGTGCTTTGAGTATGTTGACCTTGAACTGGTATAGTAGCAATATATTCTCCAGCTGTGCATCTGTAGAGTACCCATCCAAACTTCGAAAAACATTTGTGACTCTCACCCTTAAGGTGTGATTGTGTGTGTGATGAGATGAATACTGTGTTATATATAATGATATCTATCTTTTTTCAGTTCCTCTGTGGGCAGTAGGAGCTATCCTAGTTGTACTCCTGGCTTTAGTAGCCTGTATCATCTTCTGTATTGCTAAAAAGTGCTTGGGCAAAAAAAAGAAAGCAAAGAAGGTGCGAGAGAGGAAAACTGGCTGCAGGAGGAGGGGCGAGAGAGAAGGAGATGGTGAGGGTGGCGATAAGGTAAGAATGACAAGGAGAAAAGAGAGGAGGAGCGAGCTTTTGTACGGCTACTGTATATACTATAACAATAGTACGTTGCAATGACAAGTACTGTCCAACAGGATGAAGGAGATAAGAAAAAGGGAGAAGGAGAGGAGAAGGAACAGGAGAAATTGGGTAAGCTGGAGTTCTCCTTGGACTACAACTTTACAGAGACCCAGGTATGTTTCTGTCTGTTTGTAGCTTGATTGTCATGTCATTGTTTTTTTTACCATAATGCCATAATGTGTGTCTTCACCTGGCTTATGTAAAACACTTTACTTGTTGCTAGTATATCTAGGAAGTCTCAATTTTGTAAATTCTCTCTTTCCTACCCTCCTGCACCCAGTATCATTGTATATAACAGTCACTGTATATAACAGTCACTGTCTTCCTCCCCTCTAGCTGATAGTGGGGATACTCCAGGCCCAGGATCTTGCCGCAATGGATATGGGGGGAACATCAGACCCCTACGTTAAGGTCTACCTGCTCCCTGACAAGAAGAAAAAGTTTGAGACTAAGGTGCAGCGCAAGAACCTGTGTCCTGTCTTCAACGAGACCTTCACCTTCAAGGTCTGTGCAATAATCCTGTGTCTGATATTATGCCTGTTTTACCTGGGTGAAAGATTTATAAGGTTTTCAAAGTTGCAAAAACAAACACAATTACAATTCCCTAAAAGTCATTTTATGCTCATTTGTGTGTCACCTATCCCCCCATATTACTAATATTCAAGAATAAAGCCAACAAGTCATATTTTTTGTGATTCATATGAATGCACTTTAGCAAAATGTCATTCATTGTAATGGTAAGTTTTTTTCCAAAACAATTTCTTTATGTCCATTTTTTTCATTATTTATCCATGATGAGACTGGTAGAAATAAAACTACCTAGAAAAAATGACATTCTTTTATTTGTAATATGCAACATGTGTCAACATGTGTCACAGATACATCTCAAAATCTGTAGAACATTTTTAACAGAACTTTTCTGCCTATACACTAGGAAAAACATAAATATATATTCTATACATTGTTGCTATCCACCTTCATGAATCATCACCTTATCGTGGTGGAGGGGTTTGCGTGCCTCCATGATCCTAGGAGCTATGTTGTCGGGGGCAATTGCCCCTAGTAGGGCCTCTCAAGGCAAATTGGTCCCAGGTGAGTAGCCAGACTAAGTGCGGTGTGATGATTATTATAAAGGACCATGTTACTCTGTCTGGATTGGGGAGATCGGGGCCTCATTCTGGAGCCAGGCCTGGAGCAGGAACCTGAGAGCAAGCACCTGGTGGCCGGGCCTCCACCCATGGAGTCTGGCCAAGCGAAGCCTGAAGACATAACATGGGTCTGCTCTCCCTAGCACCAGCTGCAGGGGGAGGGAAATAATTATTTGACCCCATGCTGAATTCTTAAGTTGACCCATTAATATAGAAATTAGAAGTCTATAATTTCACTGGTAGGTTTATTTTAACAGCAAAAGATAGATTATCAACAAAATAAGCAAGAAAAAAAAATAATCATGTAACACTACAAACCAATTTGTCATTTATGTAGGGAAATAAGTATTTGATCTCTTGGAACACTTGCTTTAGTACTTGGTGGAATAACCATTTTTGGCAAGCACAGCTGTCAGATGTTTCTTGTCACTGGTCATGAGGTTTGCATGCAGGTCAGCAGGATTTTTCATCCACCCCTCTTTGCAGCATTCTTATAGTCAGCATTCCCTGCTCCATTGAGATCATTAACAAGCTCCTCCCGTGTAGTTCTGGGGTTAGCCCTCACCATTCTTATGATCATTGATGCTGCATGAGATGAGATCTTCCTTGGGGCCCCAGACAAAGGGTGATTGATAGTTATTTTGTCTTTCTTCCATTTGTGAATAATTCTACCAACAGTTGTCACTTTTTCACCAAGTTGCTTGCTGATGGTAATGTAGCCAATTCCACCTTTGTGAAGGTCAACAATCTTGTCTCTGACATCCTTTGACAGTTCTCTGGTGTCTCTCATGGTGATAAGATTGAAGAACTAGAAAGGTTAGTGACCAAAGAATGCTCTTTAAACAAAGTAATGCCATTAAATGTGAATACTTATTTCCCTAGATAAATAACAAATTGGTTTGTAACTGTTACATAATGATTTTTCTGGCTTGTTTTGTTGATCTAGGGAAAAAAGATTTTGATCCCCAACAAGTCAGCAAGAAATTAACACATAAACACAACACAAGTAGTATTTAATTAAGTATTAACAGATACCAAGCCAGCATTCACATTTAATGGCATTACTTTGTTTAAAAAGTATTCTTTGGTCACTAACCTGTTAGTCAAACCTTGGATCCAGGAGGAACAGTGCGGATTCCATCCTGGTCACAGAACACTGGACCATCTCTTCACCCTCACAAGGACACTGGAGTGTTCATGGGAGTTTGCCCACCGAGACATATGACCGTGAATCTTAGGGGATCCTGTGGGGGGTGCTCCAAGAGTATGGGGTATGGGGTCCATTGTTGTGGGCCATCAAATCCCTGTACAAATAGAGCGAAAGCTTAGTTTGCATTGCCAGCAGTTAGTCAGACTTGTTCCTGGTTGGTGTTGGACGCCACCAGGGCTGGCCTTTGTCACCAATTCTGTTCATAACTTTTATGGACAGAATATCTAGGTAGGCAAGGAGTGGAGGGGGTCTGGTTTGGGGGCCTCAGGATCGCATCTTTGGTTTTTGCACATGATGTGGTCCTGTTGGTGTCATTGGGGTGTGACCTGTGGCATGCACTGGGGCGGTTTGAGTGTGGGCAGCCGGGATGAGGATCAGCACCTCCAATCTGCGGCCACGGTTCCCAACCAGAAAAGGGTGGAGCACCATCTCCTGGTGGGGAATGAGTTGTTGCCTGAAGTGGAGGAGTTCTTTGGGGTCTTGTTCACAAGTAAGAGAAGAAGAGACCAGGCAATTGACAGATGGATTGATGCAGCATTGTCAGTAATGCGGACTCTGTACCATTATGTTGTGGTAAAGAAGGAGCTGAGCTGGAAGGCAAAGCTCTCAATTCACCAGATGATCTATGTTCTGGAATGAGATTGCGGAATACAAGCGGCTCAAATGAGTTTCCTTCGCAGGGTGTCTGAGCTCAGCCCTAGAGATAGGGTGAGGGGCTCAGACATTCAGAAGGGGCTCAAAGTAGAGCTGCTGCTCTTCTGCATCTAAAGGAACCAGTTGAGATGGTAAGGGCATCTATCTAGGATGTCTTCTGGATGCCTCCCTGGGGAGGTGTTTCTGATATGTCCAACTGGGAGCAGGCCCGGGACAGACCCAGGACACGATGGAGAGTTTATATGTCTCAGCTGGCCTGTGAGTGCCTTGGGATAAGTGGCAGAAAATGGATGGATGGATCATTGGATGGATGAATTGTTGCAATCACTAACACAATTATGTCATGGTTATTCATTCATTCATTTATATTTTTAGTAAGAATTTTTTTACATTTTGAAAATACTTTCTTTAGAATTTTAATCAGGACAGTTACAATAAAGCACGTTTTGACATGTCAGAGCTTAAAAATTCCTTAATTTAATAGTTTGCAGCACAAATAACTCTGTGTTAAGACAAAACACTTGGAGAAGTTACAAAAAACTTTATTGGGGAAAACCAGAGTGAAGTCCAAACAACAAGCGGGGTTCAAGTCAGAAATCAGTCTGAGCCAAGCGTCTGAAGCCAAAGGGTAAACCGAAGGGGGAGTCGTTGAGCCGGGTGCAGAAGAGTCGGGGAGCCGGGAGGTCAGTCCGATGACAAGGACGGGACACACAGGCAGCAGCCACGGGAGAAGATTAGGACTGGGATGGTTGGGAGCAGGAAGATTCAGGAGGCATGGGAAGAGGGAGTAGGGAGAGTTGGGTGGAGCAGAGCTGCAACAGAGACACAGGAGTAAAGCACTCGAAAATTGCATGACAAACAGTACCTTGCATCGAGCGATCTTTGTGCAGGGTTTAACCCTCTGGGGTCGACGGTATCATCTGCAATGCTGCGTATCTTTCTTGTGTATTTCAGTTCATAACTCACTGAAATCGTATTATAGAAACATGAAAAAAACTACTAAATCCGTAATCTGTCTTCTTTTCAAAACGTCCATTGTCGGAAGTATTAAAGTGTTTAAAAAATAAGCAAAAAAGTAAACCATTTCACCTTTCTTTGTTTTTCCTGCATCGGGGGCGTGTAGTACCAATTTCACCTGAAGATCGCTATTCACATTCTAAATAGCTGCATTACCACGTATTCAAATCGCATTCGCATGGTAATTTGATGAACAACGCAACGGTGGAACGCGATCCAGATACATCCCCATCAGCACCATAAAAGGGGGGAGGAGGATGTGGCCAAGTGTGAATGGCTCATGCATACGCATGAGAGTTCCTACATATTCAATGGAAGGAGACCAGAAATAATGACATGAGTTAGCTTTTTGTTATTTATCCAGCTGAATGTTGCATCTACACCATTTAGTCATCTTCATGTAGCCAAGATTTTGGTGATCAGATATCTGGGATCAAAACAAACTTCCAGCATTGCTTACTATGTACTTTTATAATGTTTCTGCAAGTGTTACAAACTGCATTTTGCAATGTCTATACTTTGATGTCAAATTACAAACTTCACATAAATCTGACATATTTAATTTATTTGCCATGAATTAAGTTTATGATGTTGAAATAAATGTGTGACTATGCCCCAGTCAGTGAAATTGTGTTCCCTACCCCTAGACCCCAGAGGGACAAGTAGCCAAGTGGGCGTGTCACTGATTGGTTGCAGTCGTGCCGCCTGCAGGTATGACACTCTGGGTCAAAACAAAAGATTATGAGTTCAGTGAATTAGTATTATAGTTTTATATAAATATTTGTGTCTTGTTCTTCGTCGGGCACAGACCGGTGAAGCAAAGGCAAGACTCAAGGGGTTTAATCGAAAGCACACGTTAAAACACATACACAACGACTGATGTGTATGTGACCAAGAGACAGGGATCTGGCTGGGATCTGCCATGCTGGGAAGGTGGTCGGGGTGACCCACCAGAGGGGTTCATTGGGGTAGTCATCAGGGAAATCCCCGAGGGGTCCCACTCCATCTCCACTGAGGGGGGAGGAGTGGTGGTCCAACAATCAGGGACCTCCTCAGGGTCGGGAGCCGGGGGCATGGGAACAGGAACCACGTGGGCTGGAGCTGGAACTGCCAGGAGTGGAACCACGGAGAGCGGAGCACTAACTGCAGGGACTGGAACCACGGAGACTGGGTTCTCGGGTGCGGGTGCAGCTGGGGGTGGTGCCTCGAGTGCGGACGCGGCCGGGGTTTGCACTTTGGGATAGGGCGCAGCCTCAGGAAAGGGAGCAGCAGAGACCTCGGGCCCCACAGCGTCTCATGTCGAGGAAGCCTGCTCCTACCTCAAACGGAGCAGCTACCTCTGGCTCTCCGCCATTTTCTCCAGCTCTCGAGGTGGGGAGGTTAGGGTGAAGGAGGAATCCACATCCGGAGCGGGGTAGCCTCTTGGGAGTCCCACACTGCCGGATCTTCCATTACCCGCCAGTATAGACCCCGAAGTGAAAATATTTCTCGGCCAGGGACAAAGCAGGAACGGTGGTCGAGATTGACACAGGAGGCGTAGGCGAAGTGGCGGGCAGACGAGCCTCGGGCATCAGCGGCGGGTTACAGAAGGGCATCCGACACGCACTCCTGTTTGCAATCTTTCCACTTCTTTCTGCGAGCCGAGATGTAAGATTATATTATTAGCCGAGCAGGGGACAGTTCGGGCAGCATCAAAGGCGAGACATGAGGCAGCCCACAGTCCAAACGCACCTGCCTTATCATCCTCTCTGCCACTCTGCTCCTCAGCTGCTGTAAGCTTTCGCGCACCTCCAATGGGCAGGGAGATCCTCTCCAGGATATCCCTCGCCTGGGTAGGATTCGTGCTGCGGGGTCTTCTCGGACTTCGGGCTCCCACAGCTAATAAATTACCTCATCTGTTAAGACGAGGTATTCCTCCTCAGCGAGGGGAGGTGTCTTCTTCTTCTGGAGTCCAGTCATTCTGTCTTGTTCTTCGTCAGGGCATGGACTGTGGAAGCAAAAGCAGGACTCGAGGGGTTTAATCGAAGGTACACGTTAAAACACATACACAACAACTGACGTCAATGACCGGACTGGGGAACATACTCTAACGCAGACTTAAATACACAACAGCTATTAACAAGACTAGAAACAGCTGAAGACTTCGGGATTCCACACAAGGTAACGTGGCACACAGGAGGATCAGACGAGCAGGGCATGACAATTTGTCTTTTTCTCTTAAATTAATGGCCCTGGGACAACAAATTTACACTTGTTGTCATTGAGTAGTTTGTTGTTTTAACTTGATGTGTGATTTGCCCTACTTTGACTTGCGATCTCTTTACCACTAAAAATAATTAAGTAATTGAAAGCAGTTTTTTTAAATACGATATAAACAGTACATTACTTTTTTGTTCATTTGTAATTGCAATGGTTAAAATAACATCTAAGGTTATTTTAGTTAAACTGTTCTTGGGGTCTTTCACTAGGTTCTAATTTATTCATCTCTTTGCACTTTTTCAATTCAAACCTGTAAATAATACAGTGGGCCCTCCAATTTCTTTAGTTTCAGTTATCCTTGATTTACTGTGATCTAAAAAAAAAGTGGAAAATTTCAATTTCAAACCGCATGCCAAGCCTGTACAGGCTGCAACATGGAGAAAGCCACAGCCCACTTGCAGTCCTGATTGCAGTACCTGTGTTATAAAAATGCATAACAAGCACTATTTTCATTGTGTGGTATTACTTTTGCATCATCATTTGATGCCTGATATTTAGGCTAAAACATCTGAATCCTTTTCATTTGAGAGAGAACAGTACTGCACAGTACTGTGTAACAATGTACTATGTACTTTATTATAACTGTATTTAACGCTGGTAAGGTCTTACTCTGCATAATTTATCAATCAAACTTTACCATGTTCATGCACAAAAATCATGTAATATATGGGGATCATGGAAGGTTCAACCAACCGCAGTAGATCTTGGAACGTATCTCCCTTGGATATGGGACGACTACTATATGTGTAAACTCTTTTTACATGTTTTGCATGTTTTTCCCCTTGTAAAGATTCCATATGCAGAACTTGGGGGAAAGACGCTGGTGATGCAGGTCTTTGACTTTGACCGCTTCTCAAAGCATGATATTATTGGTGAAATCAAGATCCCTATGAATAGTGTGGATCTTGGCCAACCCCTGCAGGAATGGAGAGATCTGGAGAGTGGAGAAAAGGAAGAGGTATGTAATTTGTGCACAAATGATCTAGATGTTCCTTACCCTCATCCTTCAGTCTGTTTAAAAACTAATTGTTTTAATCACCATTCTCTGTCAGTATCTCAACCATTTTAATGACATTTTGTATTTTCTTTTTCTGACTCATTCAGTTTGTCAGAATTTTAGTATATGATTTTTTCCATCTTTGTGTTCCAGCAAGAGAAGTTGGGAGATATCTGCATTTCTTTGCGTTATGTTCCTACAGCTGGCAAACTCACAGTCAACATCATGGAGGCTAAGAACCTGAAGAAGATGGATGTTGGTGGCTTATCAGGTGCTATACAACTCACTCATTCATAGGCTCCCTGCAATTTCTCATTGCAACTTTATGAAGTTATTCTTACAGGGAAAATATACTTTTAACTGCTATTAGTCAATTTGGATTAAAAGCTTCTGCATGAGAGGTCCAGAGCTTTTTGCAGCTGTGTTATATAAATATTAATTACTTTTGCAATTTCCAATGTTATCCATTACCCTAACAGACAACCTGCCACGTTCGTTACTGTCTTTACTCTGCACTTTGTGCTTGCCATACCTAGACAGTAGGGGGCGTAAACTAACCACTCTATTTTGTGCTTTAGCCCAGGAATCTCCAATTCTGGTCTTAGAGCGCCAGTCTGCAACACAGCTGGCAGATTTCCCTGCTCAAACATGCATATTAAATCTGACAGTTAACTGATGAGCTGAATAAGGTGTGTTTCAGCAAGGAAATCTAAAAACTGTGTTGAATATTGGCCCTCTAGAACCAGAATTGGGGAACCCTGCTTAATTAAGCTGTAGGAAATTTAGCATTTTATTATCAATTAGCCACTTTTCATTACATTTGTGTTTCAATGATTAGAGGCTTATTTTGGTCATTGTGGCTCTTTCTGCCTCTTCACCATGTCAGCAAACACAATCGCTATTACAATGGTACCTCAGAAATCAAACTTAATCCGTTCAGAACTCCGGATCGAATCCAAAAAAGTTCGAGTTCTGATTGAATTTTCCCCATTAGTAATAATGGAAAACCAATTAATTGGTTCCCGGCCCCAAAAAATTACACTATATATCTCTTTTTTTTTTTAGCATTTAAACACAAAATGAATAAGATAAAACAAGAAGAGCATATACTGTAATAAACACATCTAAGCACATTTATCAAAACAGTAATTTGTAAAGTAAGAAAATAAATGTATCCAAACAATGTGTAAAGTAAAAAAAAAACAATGTGTCCTGCCCCCATCGTCCGCTCCTTCTGTGTGCCACGCCCCCTCGTTAACCCCATGTGGAATCCCAGTGTGATCAGCTGTTTCTAGTTGCTGTCATTTGTCCTGCGTATTTAGTCCGCGTTTCAGTTTGTTTCCCCAGTCCAGTCATTGTATTGTCTGTCTGCGTTTACCTGTAATTAAACCCCGTATTCCCTGATACCCTGACCTCTGCGCCTTTGTCTCCATTCCGTCCCCGCTCGGCAGGACAATATTTTTATAATTAAATGTATTAATGTTTTATTATTAATATTAAAATAATGAATAAGAAATCTTTATTTTAAAATATATTTTATTATATAATAATAATTACTGTTACTATCATTGTCAATTTATTTTTACTGTCCAAATATATGTATTCAGCTAGTGGAAATGATGCTATCACAGCGAACGCGGAACTGAGACTGAGACTAACCCTAACCCTTTGTTTCTGCTGAGACGTGCCGCGTGACTCACAAGTTCCCCGTGCGTACAAGTTATCTTAGGTCAGCCTTCACAGTTCGACTTCTGAGATTCAGATTGAGTTCTAGGTAAAAAAAAATTTCGAACTGGTTGGTTCGACTTTTAAGAAATTCGAGTTATAATGAGTTTGAGAACTGAGGTACCTCTGTATAGGCAAATTTACTGTTCTTTGAAAATGAATTGTGTTTTTTTTTTTAATTAGATCCATTTGTGAAAATTGTGCTGCAACACAATGGGAAACGACTGAAGAAAAAGAAAACAACTGTTAAAAAAAATACTCTAAACCCCTACTTCAATGAGAGCTTCAGTTTTGACGTTCCTTTTGCACAGATACAGGTATAATATTACTCTGTTAGTTCTTAGTGTACTTACCTCCAGCATAAATTAATATAATCTTACAATTTCCTGTTATTTTCTATGCAGAAAGTGCAGGTTCTCATAACGGTGTATGACTACGACAAGCTTGGAAGCAATGATGCCATTGGAAAAACTTTTATTGGCTACGGTGCGTCAGGGATAGGGCTACGCCATTGGTCAGATATGTTGGCCAATCCAAGACGACCTGTTGCCCAGTGGCATACTCTGCAGCCTGAAGAAGAAGTGGATTCTGCTCTTAAAGGACCCCATCGCTAACCTTTGCATCATTGAGTAGTCTCTAAATATCCTTTGTTGGTTTGTGTCCCCATAAGTAGCAACCTAAATATTCTGAACTTATAGCCTACCTCCCAGCTCAACATACTTCTTTGTGTCTGTTATTTGAATCTTTACATGCATGTTTCTTCTCTGTGATTTGATGCTATGCAGGTGTTTGTTGCTTGTTCATATGTTTTATTTCCACTCACTTTACTGCAAAGATTACATTGTAAGAGAAAGGGTCAAGCCATTACAGAAAATGGATGGAAGGATGGATGGATATGAAAACTGGAAATGCAATGCTCTGCTGTTATGTAAAATATTATTTGTAAACATTATCTGTTTATGTAGGTACATTTTTGCATATACATAATCAAACTGAGTTATTGAATTGGCAAATTTATTGTTCTTCTTATACATTTGCCTCTCAACAGCACCTCTCCTCCTATTGATCTACCTACATGCACACATGTGTACCTGTCAGACACAATCGTTTTATCGTACTGTATCGCTTGCTGTGAGCACTGAATGGATGGGCCCAGAACAGTTGTTTATTTGTTCGGCTAATATGGCAGGCTTAAATCAGCTTGCAGTCTGCAATCTGCACCATTGATCTTTTGAAAGTGAGTCACATGTGACTAATCTTTGTGTCACTTCCCTCTCATGTCTGGTCTTTATGCATGTGTGCATTTCTGCCCCATGAACCACATGTGAGCTAGGCAAGATCAAAGGAATTTTCGAAGCAGGTTTATTGCTCTTCTCTGGTCCCTGTTCAAAGGGGATTTTTTCTTCCCTTGCCCCCAAATGCCTGTAATTTACTCTGACTGGATGGGACCCTTCAACCACCCCCGCTCCATTGTCTCCCATTATATTCTGCTTGTCTGCCCTGATAAGGATAATCATTAAAGAAAGTTCAGGCCCTTTGCATATGATTTCACTGTGTCACATGCTTCTGTCCCTGAATTAGGTCAGTTTTTCCTTCCAATCATACAGTATATCCTCTGTTTTTCATTACAAAAATAAGTAACATTTAATGCAGTGCAGAGCCATGGCTACCATATCATCTACTAATCTGTTGGGGTAGTAGGCACACTATAGAGGATAGGGGAGTAGATATGCAATAGAACCAATTTCTCCAGGCAATTCATAACAACTGATGTAAGTGCCACCGGTCTAAAGTTGTTCAGGGTGGATGTGTCTGGTTTCTTAGGGACCAGTTTAATGACTTGAATATGCATGGGACAACTGCTTGTGTGTCTGTGGCGTCTAGGCATCCCGGCAGGTTTGCCAGAGCACCATCAGTCCATGTTTTAACAGTTCTCCTGATTGTGACTGGGTTAGCCTTCAGCCGTTTGGTGTAAGTAGGCCTTAGCAGGAATGTCAGATGATTGGATTTTCCAAAATGGGGTTTTGGCACAGCTGAATATGCATTTCTAATATTACTGTAACGATGGCCCAAGATGTTGTTTCCTCTGGTGGAAAAAGTCACAAACTGGTAAAGTTTTGGAATGTTTCTCCAGAGATTGCAATGATTGAAGTCTCACTGGATAATGAAAGCAGCATTAGGATACATGTTTCCATGCTCACTTATCATGTTGTGCAGTTCTTTCAGTGCAGCCTCCTCCTTAGTGGAGGGGGGTGTACACAGCACTCACAATAATGCATTGCAGTTCTCTGGGTAAATAAAACGGTCTGCACTTCAGTGTTAAATATTTCACATCCTCAGAACATGTGTTTGTGTGTGTGTATGTGTGTGTGTATATAATTCAAAATATATTTTTAAAAATCAGTGTCTGGCATGCACTTTTCACATATCATAAAACTTAAAACGTGATCATGACCTGCTGTATAGAAACTGATATTAATATGTGGGTCATATACAGCCAAATATTCTTAAAACTTTCATGTCTCTTGAAATTACAAACTAGCCTCCACTTGTCTTTGTAACTGTGGGTGGAATTTTACAATCAGACCTTAAGTTAAGATTAATAACCTCCTATAAATCATTGCAAATGAGACAGTTACTACTTTTCATTCAAACACGACAGTGGTGCAATTCTTTTCGACATCGCTTGTTCATGCAAATTGTCTCCTGTCACAAGAAGCGATTAATTTGAATAAATTGATCTATCTATTAGGGGTGGAGCCGAACCCGAATACGGTATTCGGAAAGGCACAAATAATGTGTTTTTTACGAATACTTATTTCGAACAAATACTTT